CTGGGAGTGTGAGGCAGCATCACTTCTAGACTTCAAATTATATTGTGATGCTCTAGTAATCAAAACAGCATGGTACTGGCATAAAAAAACATAAAAAAAACAGCCATATAGACCAATGGGATAGAATTGAGAGCCCAGAAATAAACCTACACCTATATGAACAGTTAATTTATGACGAAGAAGCCCATCTTTGAGGAACATTACCCAGCATTCATGCCAATGGCTTTCATTTTTTTTGAGTTTTTCTTTAATGAATTTGTGTGAAAATATCAGGACCAGGTAAGAGAAGGACTTCTTCTGTTGAAGTGAGTGTGGGCAGTGTGAGTTCCCTGCTTCATTTCTTCCTCATTTCCTAGAAATTCTAAAGGTTCAACACAACAGAATTTAAATGTCAGCACATTGGGCCTTTTTGCCATCAACCTTCTTTAAGTGAAAAGCTACAAGTTGTAATTCTTTTGGACCACATAGGTCGCTGCTCGCAAATCTTTTCAGATTATATTTGGAACAGTGCACCAGTGATAGTAAAATATGAATAGGGACCCTGACATCTGTATTCTAACTGGGACCTTATGAAATCATATCTCAATTAAACCAATAATTAGATTGTTATTTCACCTGTGGGTAGGTCCCTTACTAAAAGTCAAATCTCTGAAGCCACTTTTATAAAAGCTGACTTTCAAGGAACACTTCAATGAAAAATGAGATGAGCAAGAGATATAAGCTTCCCTGCTCATACTGATAACTTGTAGAAGATAACAATTACTGTGGGAAAAACAAAGAGAGAACAAGCAGAGCAGCAGCTTCAGGCAGAGAATCTTCTCTCCCTGGGCAAATATGAGATAATAGATTTAAAACAATAACAGCACAGATTTCAGAGAGTAACAAGGTAATTCTATTTGTTTTTGGTGCTGTATCTCTGGGCAGGCAGAGCTCTCATTTATGGATGTTTGGTTGTAAATGTGATATATTTTTTATATATGACTTTCTTAATTTGTTAAAACTACGTTCATGGATGTCACTGTCCCTTGCTCATCTTGTGTGTATAAATATTCCCACATCCTGCATTACTTGTTTTGCTCCGGTTACTTCCTCAAAGTCCACAAGGGGGCAGCACATACCACACTGCCCAGCTGTCTCTGTCTCCTTATATTTGGGAGGGGAAAAATCTAAGAGGGCCCCAATTACACTCTTAAAGATGCCTATACCACACCCACTTGCTCCAGCTCAAGAGCCTCTCACTTTTTAATGTTCTTTATAGAAAAAAACTGTTGAAGAATTAGGAGGGAAATCTAAGGCCACATTGAAAACTTTGCAGCATTATTTCAGATTTGTAAAATGTTCTGACAAGATCTAAAGATTTTGACTTGAAGCTTGCTCTTTGTATATTTTTAAGAGAGAGAGCTCCTTGGCATGGTCAAATTGATACTGGGGTGGATTCTATTGGAACATACCCATGAGGGGGAAGAGGTAAGGATTTATTTGTTATAGTAGATGCTTGTCAACATATTGAATTCTTTTTTTTTTTTTTTTTTTAATAGAAGGAAGCACTAGATTAGGAGTCAGCCTAGTCTCCTAGTCCTGGCAAGAGTTTGGCTCTGGTGCCCTTCCTGAGTGTGTCTGTCCCTCTGTAACTCACCTGTGAATGAGCATGGCAGTCCTTTCAAGCGCAGACCACCAGCATTCTCCCTGCACAGACCAGAGGCTGGCAGCAACAAAGGTGGGTCCAGTCTGCCTGTGGAATCCTGAGGCTTGGAGGACAGACTATATTCTTTGTGGTCCCTGTCCCAGAGTCATTCACTCTTCCACATGACCATCTAATGTGCTGAGAGATCTGAAGCCACAGCAAATAGGTTCATTACTTTGTTTCCTGTTTACCGATAACTTGTAGAAGATAACAAGTGCTGTGGGCAAAAGGAAGAGAGAACAAGCAGGGCAGCAGCTGCAGGCAGGAAACATCCTTATTGGAATAAAGGGTCTGAAGCCATGAATCATCATTAACCAGACTCCATACTGATAGAAATTAAAATGCTGATAACGAAAACCACAAGTGTTCATTTCCCCCAAGGGAAGGGATGGAGAGAGACCACAAGGAGGAAGCCTCTCCGGGATGACAATCCAGAGACGGATGTAAGGAACAGGATTCAGAGCAGGCCAGACCAGACCACATGCACCCCAGGGGTGACAGGTAGGGAGAAGGGGGAACTTTGCTTCTGTAAATAAAAAAAACAAGGTGTTTCATGTCTGTGGTTTTGCAGGGGTGGCCTGTGCAGGCCAATGGAGGGCTGATGAAAACCTGCAGAGAGGAGCAGAAGGGCCACAGAGGAGCATAGGTGAAGGAAGCTTCTTGGCGATAATACAGAGCCAAACCAAAAAATGAAAAGAATCAGCAGACATGCTTTGGGCACATGGTTAAGTGACTAGGGAAGGATACAACACAGTATTTATCCCTGGATTGCAATAACATGAAAATGACATGTGCACAAAAAGTAAAGAATAATAAAGAAGGAATGGAGGGAACCCATAAAGGCCAAACCATTGTTGACGTGTAGAAGCAAATAAATAAATAAATAAATAAATAAATAAATAAAAATCTGAGAAAAGAGTTGTTTCTTTACATGTGCTTTTATGTTGTAACTATAGTAAATAATATTACTCTCTGTATAAGATTATAAATATAATATCCATATGTGCATGTATTACAATAAATGCATATATTGTTAATAGGGTAAATAACAAACAAAACGCAAAGACAATAAGGGAGAAAAGGTTGACTTTGAACCTAAAGCCTTAGAACTTGACCATTATGAGACTATATCAAGGAACATAATAGGGCTGGGATTAGGCCAGAGTGGCATCATCAGAGGAGACCAAGAGGAGAGCAGTCAGTTCAGTAGCTTAGTGGTGAAGAGCCCAGGCTCTGGAGCAGGGTGACCTTGAGCCTCAGTTTCCCCATCTGTAAATTAGGGCTAATAGAGTAATTATAAGATTGTGTTGAAGATTAAATGAAATAATATATACAAAGGGCTTAGAATCCTCCTCATACACAGTTCTCTTGGATGTTTGCCACTATCTAGAGAAGACCAGTGCCCAAGGTAGAGGGCCTAGCCAGCCCAAAGCTTAAGGTAGTCAAAGAATGAAGGGCAGAGGGAAGCAAAACTCCCTCTTCCTGCAGCCTGTCAGCAGAATAGTCCCTGTATGGACAGAAAAAGGAAGGAATAAAAAAGGAAAAAAAAGTGGGGAGGGAGATAGTGAGAGGGACTGGTAATCACTTAAGTAATAAATGAGGCTGGGAACATACGCAAAGCAGTGTGTGTGTGTGTGTGTGTGTGTGTGTGTGTGTGTGTGTGCGTGTGTAGGGATCATCTCTGAGCAAATAAAGCCATAAAAGAAAAAAGCAAGAAATCAAATAAAGATGTTGGGCAGGGATCTAGTCTTCCATGCTGTCGTGGGAAGAACACTGAATTTGGGGTCTGATCCCAGGGCTTGGTCACCATGTTGCATGACCTCCAGGCCTAGAGTTCTTGGAAAAGTCATCTATCCCCTCCTTTTCATCTCTGAAAGGGAAAACAGTAAATCCAACCTCCCAGAGCTGCTGCGACTATTGAAAGAGGGCATTTTACTGTTGGTGCCCAAGTCAGAAACAAATGCACAGAGGATCTCTCTCCGCATTCCAGGGCACAGAGCACTGTGGGAGAGAAGCGCCCTCGCCTCTCCTTCCAGCTTTCAGGCCCAGGAATGAGCGAGGCAGTGGGCGGGAAGACAGGCACGGGGAATCTGGGGACAGATAAAGGAAACTCGTGATGGGGCGAGGCTGGGCTGAAGAGAAACAGATTGGGGAAGAGCTACAAAGGGAGGGGTCCACGCAAGGGGAGGGGGCCGGCGGCGAGGGAGGGTGGGAAAGCAGAGAGATGGGAGGGCAGTGTGAGAAGAAAAGCAGGCCGGGGAAGAAGGATTGGAATGCAGAAGGAACTTGGGAATGGAGGAAGTATTGAAGGCGGAGGTAAAGAAGAGAGGGGAAAATGGGGATGCGGTGGAGACAGGGGGGCCAGGCCTCCAAAGGGAAGAGGACTAGGGAGCAGACCGCGGAGAAATGAAGTGTCAGAAGATATTGGGCACTGCGAGAGGAGAGGCCCGGGCCTGCAAGACAGCCAGCAGTTTTTAGCATCCGTCCAGACTCTAAAGACGCGTGGCCTTTGCCTGACCTCGAGGGTCAGGAACAGACGCCCTGTCTTTGTGGAGAGCGGTACCCCACAGAGAGAATGGGCCTCTTCGGAGCTGGGGCCTGCGCAGGCCGCACGGCAAGGCTTCTCCGGCCTTGGACTGAGCCCCTGAAGGCAGCGTACAGCCCACCTGGGTTTGGGGTCACGGAAGTAAAGTGCCACCGCAGAGCCAGAACAGACTGCAGCAGAGGCGCCTGCTCCCAGCTGTCTCTGGGGGGCGCCTTCGCCAGTTTCCTCCTTCTGGGGCTGCACGGTGGCTGGAGAGTGCACGGTCGCTGGAGAGGGCAAGGTCGCTGGAGAGTGCAGGCAGCTGGTCAAGACCCAGAGCCGGTGCAGCGCAGCGCAGCAGCGGAGACGCAGAGTTAGGAACAGCGCGAGGGCTACCCTGGCGCGGCGGAAGACCCTTGCTCCCTCGCCGCGGGCTGACGGCGTTCGCTCTCCCCCCCGGCTCCGCGCCCGCTCCAGGCGCACAGCCCGCAGCCCCGCGGGGGCGCTGCGTCTCCCCGCCACACCAGCGCCCGCGGCCCCGCTCCCCCACACCTCCTGCCCGCACCACCCGGCTTCTCCTCCCACCCTCTCTGCTCCCCTCCCCTCGGCTCTCACCACTCCCCTCGGCGAGGGGCGGGAGGGGGCGTGGCGGGGCCGGGGTTTGTGTGGCTGGGACCCGGCTCCTCGCACTCCTAGTCCGCGGGAGGAGCCGGGCCCCGGCCGCTGTCCAGCCGCTCCGCGCCCCTCGTGCCCTGCGCCGCCGCTTCTGGGGAGACGCGGTCCCCCGCCAGCCATGGATACGCCCAGGGTCCTGCTCTCGGCCGTCTTCCTCATCAGTTTCCTGTGGGATTTGCCCGGTTTCCAGCAGGCTTCTATCTCGTCCTCTTCGTCCGCTGAGTTGGGCTCCGCCAAGGGCATGCGAAGTCGCAGGGAAGGGAGGATCCCGCGGGCGCAGCGAGAGAGTGGCACGGCCCGGGTGCCCGCCGAGCGCCAGGAGCCAGGGCCGTGGCAGTGGGAGGATCCCGGCGGCGGCCGCTGGAGCAGCCCCAGGCGCACGAGTCGCCCGGACGGGGCCCGCGCGTGGTGCCCCACGAGTACATGCTGTCAATATACAGGACCTACTCCATCGCCGAGAAGCTGGGCATCAACGCCAGCTTCTTCCAGTCTTCCAAGTCGGCCAATACCATCACTAGCTTTGTAGACAGGGGGCTAGGTAAGTGGCAAAGAAGATGCCCTGCTTCTCTCCCCCCGGGCGCAGCTCCGGCGCTGGCAGAAGCCTGCGTTGGTGCATTACCTTTCCGATCTGGACGCCTCCCCCTTTCTTTCCTTAAATTGAAGTTTTGTTCTTCTTCTTCTTCTTTTTTCTCCTGAGCCCTAGCACGTTTCTGAATGCACTGCCGAGTTTATGCCGGTTTGCAGCTCTGCCTTCCTCGCTTTCTTCTTCCCCGTCCTTTCTTTCTCCCGGTCTTCTTGCTCTGTCTTCTGCAGAAAGCAGCTGGGTGGCCGCTCATCGGGCGGCTCGTGGACGGGAGGTGCAGGCAAATGACCAGGGCTGGAGAAGGGTCTCTGCAAAGACCCACGGAATATGTGCCACGGGGCTCGGGGTTGCGCGGGGTCCGCAGTCCAAGTCCTGAGCAGCTGGGACCGAGCGGGTGGGGTCTGAGACAGGAGCGAGCGTTGGAAAATACAGAATTCCGCTGCGCTGCAGGGAAAGCCTGCAGGAGCAAGTCCCGCGGCTGGAGGAGCGAATCCGCTGGCCGAGCCTGGCAGTGCCCAGGTCCCGCCGCCGAGCGGGTTCTGGCTCCGCCAGTCCGCGCGCGCGCGCCGGGTGTGAGCCTTGCCAACCGGACGGGAGCCCGGGGCCCTCGGTGGTTTGGTTTTGTTTTTCTCCCTCATCGAGCTCTTAGCCGCTTTCAGGTCTCAACCGATTCTCTTCTGCAGAGGCAGGGGCAGAGCTGGCAGCGTGGGCGCCGGGTCGCGACAGCACAGTTTAGCGCGGCGGGTTGTATAGCACCTAATCCACAAGGGTGCACGGGGGTGCTCAGCCACCTTTGTTAGACAACACTCCTTTCTCTGCACTTCCACGAGAGCCTTTTCCCTCTCCCCACTGCATGTGTGCGTATCTGCGGGAGGGAACCCCAGCGCCCCCTCCTTGCTAGTCGTTGCTTAGGTCCTCAGCAAGGCGAGTGCCGACAAAACTACCTCGCGCGCGCCCTGGTCCCAGATACTTGGGGAGGGATCCATGGGGAGGGATCCAGAAGCTCAGCTCCTACAGAAAGACAAGGTGGAAGGAGGCAGGAAAGGCAGGGAGCTAAAAGAAAGGAAAGGTAAAAGGGGTGGACAGCGGGAGAAGAATGCAAGGGGAGATAAAAGAGATTTTAGACAGCGAAACCCTCCACCGTCCTCCTCAGACTTAGCTCTGCGCCTTTGACCTGTGCCTCGACTCCCCCTTCCAGTGAAAGTGGGGCCTCCCAGGAACCTGTGAGCACCGAGGATCAGGCTGAGGGGGGTGCGCCGGTCGGGCTGCTTTATTGTACTTGCACGTTCTGGAAGCTTTTTTCTGAGCAGGCAAGTGCCTCGCGATCCCGCGACTCCTAGCGGCCTCCAGCCCCCGGCCTCCTCCCTCGCGGCAGCCTTGGTTTCGGGCATGAGTCCTGCCCACGCTCCGCTCGCCGCTGCAGTCAGAGGTCAGCAAGGTTCATGAGCTGCTGAAAGATCCCTAGGGCAAATTAACGCCGGGGTATTTTATGGTGGTTTTAGGACGGCTAAAGTCACCTTTGCAAATACACGTGGCTTCCTCACAGCGCTGCAACTGAGTCCCGGCCCAGTTCCGCCAGGGCAACTCACGAGAGCCAGCACCTCTCCAGGCCAGCGTCCTGCCTCGGCTGCGCCCTCACGCCGGCCCTTTACAGCCCCTTCTCTAATTCCCTAGTACAAAGTGAGCTTTAGGAAGTTCGGAGAAAATTGCTCAAGAGTTCGTTCCCCCAGAGAATTCCCTGGGACCAAGACTAGGAGGCAATTGGGGGCGCATTTTCTTTCCCAGGAAGCGAAGTAGCAGGAATCTCCACCCCTCCCCCAAGCAGGCACCCCTAACTCGTCGAAGTGCCCGGTAACTTTGGCACTGAATCAAGGGAACCTGCAGGCTGTTCCGAGGTGTCTTTGGAAACCGGCGGGGGGCAGGGAGGGGGAGAGAGAGAGAGACGCGGGCGCACGTGTGTGCGCGCGTGTGCACAGGCTCAGGAGGGGTCTCTGGGGGCTTTAGGTCCCGCGTAGACTCCGACTCGCTTCGCCCATGCTAGCGGTGCAGCCTTTCCCAGGGCACCGTGCTGGACTCCCCCGGGCGCCGAGGTAGGGAAGGGCCTGGCTGCCTGCCCAGGCTGGGGGGCCTCTGTTCGCGAGCCAAGGTCTCCAGGCTAGCCGGACCAAGATCCAGACGTTCGGCTTCAACTCCGGAACACCGTCGCGGACGGAGCTGTGCGCGGTCGGTCCCCAGCCTGCAGGGATGCGGCCTGACCACCTGGACCGCAGCTTCCCACGCGCGGTCTCGCCCAAGCCCTCAGGTCCCCAGAAAACAAGCAGGAAGGCAGTTCGTGGGCTGGGGAGGCTGTGGCGCTTGTCGCGCGCCGCGTGCGGGGGCGAAGGAGCCTGGAGCTGGGCGCTGGGGGAGGCGCCGAGAGGAGGGGTGCACCGCGGGCTACAGCCCCAGCCTGATAAAGGGAAAGCCTCACTTTCCCTCTCCCTGATTTTGATTTGATGTGTCACGGGCGGTGACCTCGGGCTGGACCTTCCGGGGCTTGCTTAGCATTGGGCCCCTGATTGGAGCGTTTCAACTCGGCGATCTAATTGGGGGCTCATGTCATAACACATCAAACGGTGTCTAGTCTCCCGTGATGGAAGGGACCCGCCAGCCGCTCATCCCCCCACGCTCCTGGCCGGGACTTCCGCCCCCCTCACGTGGGGACTCCTGCGCGCGCCAAGCCCCCCGGCTCCCCCTCCCCCACCCCTGGACGGCGGGGCCAGGAGGAAAGAGCAGCCGCCAGTTTAGAGCTGGGCCAGCCGCGCTGACTTGGCGCCTTGCCTCAGGTTGTTTAAATCGCCCTCGAGTGTGGCAGGCTTGGCTTGGAGGAGCAGGGGTCCCTCAGAGGGAGGGGCGAAAAAAATGGAAAGAATTCCCAGCCTTCAATTTACTCCCGTACAGTATTGGTAAAGACCCTTCCTAACCAGGAAACCCAGAACACCCAAAGTGACATTAGTAGCTTGAGATGACGCGTGGAAAGGCAGGAATCGGTTCTACCCAGAATGATTAAACAGCGTTTTAAGCCTATGCAGACGGCACGTTCTTTCTGTACTATTTAACCCGCCACCTCCCATCCCTCGCAGCGAGAACGTATTGTATGTTTTTGGTTACCTAGGACTGTAAAAATTTTGATATAGATTATTTCATTTGCTCTAACAACTATGTCCCCCCCAAGTAAAACTCACCTGTTTTACAGGTGAGTTAATGAAGACAGAGAGGTTAAGCAAGTTGCTTGGGGTCACACAGCTAGTAAGAGATGAAATTCAAATGAATTCTAGGCCCTGCAAGCTTAATTAACTGTGACACTATATGGATAGCTTCAGGGGTTTCTAAAGGGTGGTGGCAAGAAGTGGAAGTAAAAAAAAAAAAATGACAAATTTCCCTTCCAGTCTAATATTCCTTGGCAGTCTCTTCAGACCCAGTTAGAAAATGGAGGGATGGAACTTGGGAGTTGACGGGCTGAATCTGCTTGCCTTTCTTCCTTTTGGATTGATTGGCTTGCAAAACAGGCACAAGCCGCGCTAGCCCTGATCTTTTCAATGTCACAACAGTACATGGTTCAGAACAGTAAAAATGGTTCTGAACCCATAAAGACGAGAAAGGCTGTGCACATGCGAGTTGGTGCAGTCGAGAGCAGAATGGATGGATATAGAGAAATTACAGCTTGATGATACACCCCACGAAAAGACCAATTGTACTGGGGCAGTGGACCCCCAACCGCAGAGCCTGAGAAGGCGGACAATTAGAAGGTCTATGAATTCAACAGGACTGAGCCATAAGGCGGGGGCCGGAGGAAGAGAGAAGCACAACTCGGATTCTCAGTGGCTATAGTGAGAAGCACCACAAGGGAGACTGAGAAAAAGAAAAGAAACAACCTCTCAAGGATGAGGAAACCAAATGAGTCTAAGACTATCTCTGTGACTCAGGTTTCTAGATCATTTTGAAATAAGAATATTCTTTCCGAAAAAGCTTTTGGTTATCGGTGCTGTTGTTGCAACCTCACTCTCAGACAGGAGGCCGTGGGGAAGAGATAAAAACCAAAACGAGATCCGAACATCCTTGAGGAACTTGGCTACCTAGAAATGAGTCTCAGGAGAGTTTGGCTCTGCTGGTTGTCTTCTCAGTCTACCTTCTGGGTCTTGATGACCAGGGGGCCAAGGCAGGACAATTCTGGGGGTAGCCCGGCTGGGGGAAGGCATTCTAAGAGCTCCTTAGCTCCTTCGCATTTGCTATTCCTCCGGCACCGCATACTTACGCAAAACAGCTAGTTTCTGGATGGACCTGGGCCGCAGAGTGGTGTCATCCACGTAGCAGCGCTGTTGCCCGACCCTGTTGTCGCTGGCAAACGGAAAATGAAATATAAGCAGGGAAGTATTTTAATGGGGACGGAGGGAATTCACAACTGTTAATTATTTGGTGACCTTGTATTCGATTTGTTTGAGTCCCTTATAAAAACACTAATGCAGACCAGACGGCCAAGTGAGGAAGCCGGCAGAAGGTTCCAATCTAGGCTTTATTTCCCCGGAAAGAGGGAACAGCCTTGGAAAAGGATTGCTGAGCTTTCAAGTGTGTGCGTGTGAGGGCGCGTCCGCTTGAGCGCCAGCGCGGGGTGTGCTTTGCCTTCCAGGTGCAGGATCCTCCTCCAGTCTCCCAACTTGGTGAACTGGAAGATCCTGGAAAAAGCCGGGGGTAAGGGAAGGAAGCCTTAAACTGGAAGTTTGTTCTGCTCTTCACGTTGAAATGATTAAAACATTTTAAAGACCACAAACCAACCCCTTATCCATTGGCTTGCTAAGTGTCAGTTATTGTGGCCCCCATCCGTACTGCCTCAAGGGCTGCCTGACCAGACACTTACACATGCCGCCTTAGCCAGAAGCTAAGAACCCCGAGTGCAGAACTCTGGGGGGGGGGTTTCC